TAAATAGACTAACGTGCCCACCTTTTCGACTCGACAATTACCCCTGCCCTAACGTATGCAGCAGAAACCTGGTCGCTACGTAAGCAGGATGAAAGATCACTTGCTGTTATCGAACGCGCAGTCGAAAGGTCGATGCTAGGAGTATCTCGTATTTCGCAAATGAGACAAAGGATCCGAACTTCCGACCTACGTCAACGATCGAAAATCAGAGACGCCGTTCTACACGCCAGGATATCGAAAATAAGGTGGGCCGGACACGTGATGCGCTTCAACGACAACCGATGGACGAAAGCCGTTACCGACTGGATTCCTCGGGACGTCAAGCGCTCTAAAGGAAGACCACTGACCCGTTGGTCCGATTTCTTCACGAAAGCGATGGAAGAAAGATATGATGCTCAGCGAATTCCTAGAGCAAGGAGATCCCACTGGGCTACTCTTGCACGCGATAGGGAAAAATGGAAGAGTTGCTGGTACCCGCTCGAGTCACTCGACGATCAACGGGACGACAGGTGATACAGGTGATGTTTAAATTTAATTCAAATAGAAGCAATGAATAAATTATCATCAGGGGAGTCAGACAGGGTGGAGATGACTAAGTGCTCAAACAAACAAGGGCACTTCTTCTGTTATACGGCGACAAATGAATATTCGACCTCAGTCGATGGACAAGAATTTGAATTAGACTGTCGGTACTCTTCCAATATCACAAGTCTCGGAAAACTAATGTGTTGGAAAAGCTCTTCCAATAGTGCATTAAGAGAAAGAAAACATTTGTTTGAACCTCGCTGAACACAGCTCTTTCTTTAGGCTATTAGTAATCATTCGACGATGTAAGTTTAAATGATTCCAACGCTGTGCTTATTTTCTGGAAAGGATCATTTCATTGCAGTGTAGCAAGGTAAATAAGATTGAGTTGTACATATTCGGCGAGCTTATTTACCGGCTATTCTACGCGTAAAGGGGCAGGACGATCGTTTGTTGGCCCAAAATGTTAGACATGTGCTATGCAGCTTAGTACCAAGTTGGATCTTTTCTTCGCTTTGGCAGGAACTCCACATAAAACGATTGACTCAGGTTTTACTAAATTTTTCGGCACGCTTACATGCTTTCATGCTTCTATTCAATTACAAGCGTGATAAAAATGAAGATGCGCAAAGGATGAGATATGTAATTTTATTTTGGATTTCACAGCGTTATAGGAAAATGTTTCGAAAAACCGGCTCAATACTACTCTAGTAAGTTTCTATTTTTATACTAAATCCTTTCAAAAACCTTTTCAGCGAATGGGGTTGAATATTCTTTTATCACCATCTAACATATCTGTTATATCTATCAACATAACTAAGAGAATTGAGTGGTGAACAAAAACACGGCCTCAGGCGGGAATCGAACCCACGTTTCATCCTATCCGGGGACGTTTTTGTTTTTGTTCACCACTCAATTCTCTTAGTTATATAAGTAACATAATAACACTGCGAAAAAAGCAGTGAAAATACTATAATTTCGAAGTATTAGAAATTAGAATAGCTATCAGCTCAACTGGGTTTATCAAGCGAAATCGCATACCCGACCAAACCTGTCAAAGGTTGGTGGCTGATAGCTAATATTGAGATGTTGAAGAATGAGTGGTCGGGTAAATGTGCCTCAGTGGTGTAGTGGTAGAGCACGCGTCCCCGGATAGGATGACACGTAGGTTCGATTCCCGCCTGAGGCCGTGTTTTTGTTCACCACTCAGTTCTCTTAGTTATATAAGTAACATAATAACACTGCGAAAAAAGCAATGAAAATACTATAATTTCTATCAACATAACAAAATTTCCAAAATCCAAAAATCCAAAAACGTTAGAGGTTGAATTTTCCATTCAGTTGTAAATGGTCTAAAAAACCCGTATAGTTCTACAAAAGCTATTCAATTTTGAGTAAATCTCCATACTACAACATACCTGCTGAGCAAATCCTAAACTCCGCTTAGTCTCGGCTATTTGTTCCAAAGCCGGATTCAAAGTGACAATATCCATCTCCAGCTCCTTACCGAGAGGAGGTCGAACACGAACACCCCTTCGAATTTGACCCTGAAGGTAATTCTACTATGTGAAATTGCAGATATGGTCAACAATATAGACATAAAACCCTGAGATCCTCGACGGCGTTGTGCAGGTCCCTAATCTCCTCATCCTTATCACGTAATTCGTCACGTTTGGCGGCCAGCTCTGATGTTAAACGACCGATATTTTCCAGTCGTTTGAGGAGCTCACCCTTCAGACGCATAATTTCCGCCTTTTGCTGAAGTTTTTATATTGCATCCTCAGATTTTTCCCACAACTCCAAAAAGATTTAGATCAAAAGATCGACCCCAACTAAATTACAGTATGAAAAATGAGAACTATCTCACGCACTGCCTTCTTTTACATAAAACTAACTCAAAGCTGGTAAACCCCCTACGAAATGATGCCTAAATTTGCGATGACCTCGCCTCTCTCCGAGCTCCTAAATTACTTACATAGGAGACTTTATCATGACTCTGATCCGAAGTGACCTCTTCTATATAAGTGGTTTAGGGGCTCTGATGAAGGCGAAATCGCCAAAACGTCAGCCATCTTTCAAACAAGATATACTAACCACGTCCAAACTCTATATGAAAAGGCGAGCTTGTGAGATAATTTCTATTTAAGTAAAAATTTACTAAGTTAATACAGCAAATAGGGTACTAGCTGCATTTACAATAAGTTCTTGAAACCCATAAAATTCATGGAAGCGCATTGCAGAACTGGTTCTCTTCGGTTATAAGCAAAGACCGACCTCATTTAGAGGACAAGACTTTTCATAAGAATGTTAGTAACCACTCGAAAGCTGAGATTTCTGATTACAACTTCATATCGAAAACGTTTTTGCACACCATTCTACATTATTGGGTATATTGTAACATTATACCACCTCAAGAGGCAGTCAAATAAAATGAATTCTCATTCTAAATTCTCTTCATTTTGACTGCTACTTGCAGTGGTACGATGTTATAGTATACCCAATATGTGGAGTGCTGTGCAAAAACGTTTTCGTCAGTTGGTATTCATCTGGGTTCGAATCCCGGCTGACACAAACGTTTTTGCACAGCACTCCACATATGAATTCTCATTGTTTGTCGAGGAATTTTCGAACAAAATGGAAGAAAAGGAAAAGTGGTAAGAAAAGTAGAACAAAAATGAAAAAAATCTGAAACAAAAAAGGGAATTAATACCTTTGGAGCAGGATAGACACGATACGTTTGCTCAAACGGCACGTTTTCCATACGTGCCCGTTCTTCTCCAACAAAATGATATGACTGAGGGGCGTGGTCGAAACGGTCCAGCGTCTACACCACAAGTGTCAGTACTACGCGACCGTGCCTAGAAATAGAAAGACCAATCTCTTTGGAGAGGTGTTCAGCTGTTAGGTACAACTCAAAATGGTTATTCATTCTGCAGGTTGGAGATAAAAGTCAACAATTGAAATTTACTCTCTATTGATGAATATATACGTATCTATTAAAAGATTTTTTCTCTGCAACACTGACTGACGTTTTGGCTTCGCATTGAACAAACTTCGAAAGAGTATGACACGCAGTCTATGCTACTAATCACTTTCATAGCCTCACTAGAAAAGACTTAATACATGCTCAGTCACATAGTAAATATTCTCCTTAACTCTCACCATTTTGTTTTTTTTTTGTCCTTTCAATATTTATGAAATACCGGCCGCACTGAATTTTACATTTGCATGGACTGTGCTTGATTTATGATTGTCACGGAGAGGGGTTACGAGGCACTCATCCTTGTCATTCATTTCCAAGTCATAGATTCCATCCAAAGACCTCTAAGACTCTTGTGCGCTAAAGTCGCGAAATATCCTGTATGAAATCTGAACTGAACACCACTATCCTCACAAGGAGTCTAGAACATCTACGCGCGAGACTCTTGAAGCCTTTTGGATAAACGCTAAAAGTTAAGATGTGAACAGCAAATTGTGCGTCTGTAATTACGAGTGAACTCGCACAATATCATAGGTCTATTTTTGGTTCCGAACCAGGCACAAATGTCGTTCACGCGAAACTTAATGTGGCTGGTCCTATAATGACTGGCGAACCAACAAGGATGAGTTTGATAAAGTTACTTGAGCATTTCATGAGGATATAGGAAGTTTTATAAAAGGCTCACGAGATGTTGTCAGAAAATGCATGGCACACCCCTTAAGAATTACTTAACGTCGAGCGCTTCATCCTTTGCCGATGGATGAAGTTTTTGCCTTATTTTATTTAGTAACACAGTTGTTGATATAGTCTGTCGACGCGGTCGAGCATTCCCATCTCTGCAAATTCGTCTCATATTCGGTTCGCCATCATCAACTGCACTGTAAATCTAGAGCGGCCTCGCAAAGCTAAGTTGGGAGGAGTGTCAACAAAGTCGACTTTCGTTCAACATTATGTTGCTTTTGAAAACATGCACCGGATACGCCGTGATTCAGTTGGACTCTTACAGCTCACTGATAATTTCTCTTAGAGAGCAAGCACACTTTTGGTTTTCTAAACATCTAAGCTATCTACTGGCTATTTCAAGCGATGCATGATGCAGTGTTGCGAAATCCACCTACACACCTGTGCAATAAGGGCGTAGCACGTGAAATGCAATCTTATCTTTAGTGTTACAGAGCAATAAAAAGTTTCTTTCAAAAACCATAAACATTTTTCAATTTGTCGAAATTCGTGCTATCGAGTGATCTGTGAATTTTCTAAGGAGAAGCTCTGCTTTGCGGAAGAAGCTTGAGTGTGAAACAAAGCTTTATTTTTACTGTTGCAGCATAATGTAAAAGCCATTTGAAAAACAAAGTTTAGTTTATAAACTTTCGAGATTTAGAATATCTTATGAACTAATGTATCCAAAAAGTGCAAAAATCACGTTTTCTGAGTATGGGTAGGGAAAGTACACAAAAATCTTGCAATTTTGAAGCCATTTGATCTCATGAAATACCCCAAGTCTTGTTAGCGCTTGAAAATGAGAAATCGATCAATTGCTCGTTGAAAAGGATGCTGCACACTGCGTGCAATGACACTTTATCAATACCTCTTAATGATTTATTAATAACCAATAACCTTCTAGAGTTGTACCTTCTTTTATTTTGAAGGCACTATAGCAACTCATGCAACATTCGTTGCGATTTTCTTCATGTACTACTCGAGTGGAAGATAAATAACGTGGACAATCGTTTAAGTAACCTCAAAGGACGAAAGGACAGAAGGACGGTTGCGCAGCGGATGTACGCGGGCACTTAGGGCGACGACGGCGGCAGCCGAGCGCCTGGAGCTGGCCCGTGTTGCGGCCTGTCTATCTTTCCCTTCCTAGACGTGTCCCTTCTCTTTATTGCCTATTAGTCGCTCTCGATGATGTTCATGATCTGATATAGCCTCGCTGAATACGTATCGATCGCTGATGACCACCTCACATATGACGTGTAGGGTTGTGTACCATTTTCGACGTGATTACCGATTAATCATAATTCGATGACGATTGTAATGCAGCAAGTGCCACGGAGACGAATCAGTGAAAGTCATGGGCTACTCACTCCCGTGGGACAGGTAGCGGGTTTGTAAGACGATCGTGAAACATACCATGTGAAAACATATATGACTTATACGACGACAGACCACGGACCTCCCTGTTTGAGGGATCCCGCCCGGTTAGTAGCGAGGGCACGTGGCGCGTCCCTAGGTGGTGGATAGGGGAATAAACGCGAACCAAAAGCGACCGTGTGCTTCCCGGAGACGCAGGTGGATTAAGGGGCGCGCTCCCCTGCTTCTGCAGCGCCGACTTGACAAAAACTCTATTTCTACGAGTCAAGTCGGCCAAAAGCCTGCAATCAAACGGCGGAAGTACATGGGAGGCGGTTAGTAGTCGCTTCCAACAAATAAGCTCCTCCCGCTCCTCCGAGAGAGACTGGCAAGCTACTCGTGAGTGCCCAGCCCCCAGAGCCTGGCAAGCTATACGTTGGGTATCAAATTCCCAGAAACAGTAACAAATATTGGTCTCATCTCCTTGACCCCGAAAGAGCCCCTGGTACGGCAGCGCCAGGTAGGACGAGTACGGAGAGGCTGCTAAAATATCAGGGCCAAACTAGGCTGTCAAGATCGCAACGAACAAAAATGACGATCTGGACCTGCAATGCAAGAACCCTTGTTCACGGATCCGTTGTCTGAAGAACGTCGCATAACCACGGACTAGAATGGAATGAACAGGGTGAGAGGCTATGTACATTTATCAAGACGACCCAAACCATCCATGGTAACTCGCAATTCCACAAGCCTCTTTCTCAGCGATGGACGTGGGAGTCCCCAATGGAGAGTACCATAACGAAATAGATCACATCATAGTAAATCGAAGGTTTTGCCTGACCGACGTCGCTGTTGTTCCCAAGTTCTGCACGGGATCAGACCACCGCCTCCTTCGCGCAACGCTCCGATTTTCGAGGAGAGGAGAGAAAACCGCTAAATTCAAACAATGAAGTCCCAGAACTACCATAAACTGGGATGTATTCAAATCATTAGTCGGATCTTGGGAAGATACCGTTGTCGACAACATCGACGAAGAATACGATTGACTCGTTGAATATCTTCACGTTAGCGCTAAAAAAGCCGAGAGTCCTAAGGTCACGAAGAGACGCTTGTCTCCGCAGACACTCGAGCTGATA